TTTTTTTTCCTTTTTTTTTTTTTTTTTTTTTTTTTGGTGAGGCATTGCTAGGTATGGAACACCAGGCCTCTTGCGTGCTAGGCAAGTGCACTGCATTGAGCTACACTCCCAGGCCTTTATTTCTTGAGACAGGGTCTCACTCACTAAGTTGCTAAGTTGCCCTTGAACTAGTGATCTTCTTGCCTCAGCTGGGATGGCAGGTGTGTGCCACTGAGTCTCACATCCTTGGGCAGTAACGGCTCTTCTGTTTCACTGTGTGCCTCCCTCTGAGGGCAGGAGTACCTGTGATACCGGTGTTTTGGATGGAACCCCCAAACGGGGCTCAACTTACTGAATGACAGTGGCCACCATGGATAACGGCAGAGGTCTGGGTTTGGGGCAGCTTGGAGCCAGGAGGAAACCTGGGGAGGCTTCCTTTAGGGAGAGGGAGAGGCTGAGGTATTGTGTGACCCTGTGAGCTGTATCCAAGCTGGTATGTATTTCTTTATGAGGCAAGATCTCCCTGAATTGCCAGGCTGGGGTAGAACTTCGAGTCCTGCTGCCTCAGCCTCGTGTGTTACAGCACCCAGTTTCTATAGAAGGAAGTTGAGGCTCAGAGGAGTTGGGACTGGGCCCCCAGGGGAAGTGACTGTGGGAGGTGAGGGGGTCCCTCTGGGGAGCTGCCTGAGGGGCCTGGCCTGCGGTGGAGCCCCCTCTCGGCCATGTCCAGGTTGCCCTTGTGCAAGTTAGGAGCCCCTTGCAGACATCTGTTGCTGTTGGGGGACCCAGGAATAGGGCAGCCTGGGCGGGCGCCACCCTCTGAGCTTGTTGCCTGTTCCCTGAACCCTCCCAAAGTGATGGTAGCCACGCAGCAGGAGATGAACGATGCCCAGCTGATGCTCAGTCAACGGGACTACTGCGCGCACCACCTCATCCAGCTGCTGAAGTGCAAGCGCGACAACTTCCCCAACTTCCTAGCCTGCAAGCACGAGCGGCACGCCTGGGACTACTGTGAGCACCTCGAGTGAGTCCGGGCTGCTGGAGGGCAGGGGCTGGGCCAGCTGCAGGCCCTGGGGGTGGAGGTGGCGGGGCCTCGTCTGGAGCCTGAGCCTGAGCCTGTCTCCTGTCCCCAGCTACGTGCAGCGCATGAAGGAGTTTGAGCGAGAACGGCGGCTGCTGCAGCGAAAGAAGCGGCGGGAACAGAGGGAGGCGCGGGCGGCCCAGGCCCATGGCTGAGGAGTGGCCCCCGAGGTGGCCCTGTAGTGTCGCCTACCATAACGACCAGTAAAGAAATAAAGTGTCCAGCACTCAACCTGAATCCCCTTCTTCCTGAAGCGCCGACAGCGAGAGGCAAGAGCAGACCCAGCCCCAAAGAACACACGAGATTCCAGCTTGGCAGAGTTTATTCCAGGCAGGGGCAACAGTGCCACCCCAGGGGACATGGGGGCCTCAGAGCAGGAAGGGGACGATGGGCATTCGCAGGGGCGGGTAGTCTCGGAACTCCTTCAGGTAGCTTCGGTGCTTGCCCTTGGCCCAGATGGTCATCTGTGTGAAGCCCACCAGCGAGAAGAGGGCCACTGTGGATTGCAGAAGGGTCAGCAGGCCACCATGGGCAGGAAGTTGGGTGGCGAGCATGGCAGGGAAGGCAGGCTCACCTGGCAGGCACTGCGTCATGATGGCAAAGCCGATCCAGGACCCCACCTGTGGAAGGGAGGGGCAGGTGTTGTGTGCAGGAGCCCAGCACTGCCCGTTTCCACACTGGGCATTTAACCTCAGGAGCTTTGCGAGGAGCTACACTGGCAGCCCAGTTTTTTACAGGTTGGGTC